AGGATGGAAAGTGCATTTTGTGCATGCTCAGAGGCCCACTCACTTTTTTACATTTCCAAAGATTTCAGCCTGCTTCAAAAAAGGTTGGGGGAAATGGCTGTCAGAAGAAGATGTGGTTTTGAAGACCAGCACATTAACTATGGGATGAATTTGAACCCAAGACAATGGAGCTGGGACTGAACATTTTACTGCAGCCTGTACAGGAAGGAGGGAGAACCGAAGAAAAAGAGCCCTGCTGGATCAGACCAAGGGCCGATCTAGTCCAGCTTCCTGGATCTCACCGTGGCCCTACCAGGTGCCTCTGGGAGCCCACGAGGAACTCTCTCCTGATCCCCCTCCCTCCCCTGCCTCTGGCCTTTGGAGGTCCCTCCCTTCAAAGCCTGGAGACGATACATCCCCATCGTGGCTTGGAATCTGTGATGGACGTTTCCTCCAGAAATCTGTCCAATCTCCCTTTTAAAGGAATCTAGGCCAGACGCCATCCCCACATCCTGTGGCAAGGAGTTCCACAGACTAACAACATGCTGGGTAAAGAAATCTTTTCTTTGGTCTGTCCTCACTCTCCCAACCCTCAGTTTGAGTGGATGTCCCCTGGTTCTGGTATTGTGTGTGAGAGAAAAGAGCTTCCCTCTATCCACTTTTTCCATCCCCTGCATAATTTTATACGTCTCCATCATCTCTCCCCTCAGGTGCCTTTTCTCTAGACGCAAGAGCCCAATCCTTGTAGTCTTTCCTCATTAGGGAGGTGCCCCAGCCCAGTCATCATTTGAGTTGCTCTCTTCTTATTTTTATTTATTTATTTACAATATTTTTTAGCCGCACCATTGCCAGTGGCTTCTGGGCGGCGTACAACATTAGGACGGCGTACAACATTACCTTTTCCAGTTCTACTGTGTCTTCTTTGAGGTGCAGCGACCAGAACTGTACACAATGCTCCAGGTGCGGCCTTACCAGCATTTTGTACAATGGCATTATAACACTGGCTGTTTTATTTTCAACCCCCTTTTTATTGAGACCTGGCATTGAATTGGCCGTCTTCATTGCCACCGCACACTGTGTTGACACTTTCATCAGCTCAGAACCCATCAACTGATAGTTTTGATTTATTTATTTATTTTTGCCCCAATGTGCCTTACTTTACATTTTCTTATACTGGAACACATTTGCCATTTTGCCGCCCATTCTCCCAGTTTGGAGAGATCCTTCTGGAGCTCTTCACAATCCCTCCTGGTCTTCACCAGCCGGGAAAGTTTCGTGTCATCTGCAAACGTGGCCACCTCACTGCTTATCCCTGTCTCCAGGTCATTGATGGACAGGTTGAAAAGCACCGGTCCCAGAACAGATCCCTGGGGCACACCACTCTTCACCTCTCTCCATGGTGAAAACTGCCCACTGACAGCTACTCTCCGTTTCCTGGTTCTCCACCAATTCTCAGTCCATACGAGGACTTGCCCTCTTAATCCCTGACGGTGGAGTTTTCTCAGCAGCCTTTGGTGAGGCACCCCGTCAAGCGCCTTCTGAAAGTCCGGATAGACCCCATCCACTGGTTCGCCCACATCCACACGCCTGCTGACCTTTTCAAAGAATTCTAAAAGGTTTGTGAGGCAAGACTGACCCTGACAGAAGCCATGCTGATTTTTCCCTCAGCAAGGCTTGTTCTTCTATGTGTTTTAAGATTTTATCTTGGATGACGCTTTCTACCATCTTCCCCAGAACAGGTGTTAGGGTAACCAGCCTGTAACTTCCCGGGGCCCCCCTCCTTCCCTTTTAAAAGATTTGGCGTGACATGTGCTGATCTCCAGTCCTCCGGCACTGTGGCCGTTTTAATGGACAAGTTCTATACTTTAGTTGAAAGATCAGCAACTTCATTCCTCCGTTCCTTGATAACCCTCGGGTGGAAGCCATCTGGGCCCGGTGATTTACTGGTTTATTGAGGGGAAGGAAGGAAGAAGCAATGTAGACTGCCGGGCTTTTCAGCCCTTAGCAGGTAGAAATTCAACAGGTGATGTTTTGCTTCACCCATTGGGTTTTGGGCACTTGGAATCTTTTGATCTGTCAAAGTGCTGAAGTGCGTTTGAGTGTGTAAGATGGGGGAGGGGGATCCAGAGCAAAGTTGTGACCTGAGATGCCACATGGTGGATATGAAGTCATTTGGTGCACTTCTGCGATGGTGATGAAGATGAAGAGATGAGGGAAACCTCACCTCTTGTATTTCCTCTTGTTCTGCATAGTTATTTAGGTCTGGGGTTCGAGTTTGCAGGCTCAGCCTGTCGGTGGAAAGAGAAGGAGAAACACATACGCATGGCAGATCTTGAAAGAGTCCAAGGCCAGTTTGCCTGTTCTGTCTTCTGCTGGCCATCTGAGCCAGTGAATGCTGGTGTGGCTAGCGGGTGGAAGCCGTAGACTGGGACCCCGGAGATCTAGCCAAAAAGCTCACTGGAACAGGCCACGCTGTCTCGGCCAGACCTCCCTCGCAGGACAGCAAGGAGGAGGAGAATCACATCACCGCCACGAAGCTGGCTGGGCAAAGGCAGGGTAGTGGAGTGATTCATAAACAAACCACGCAGCTCTGAGTGCTTTGTGGCAGGCAGAAATTCAGCAGAGGCCATTCTTTGTTCAAGGGGAAGGGGAAGCTTCACCAGCCAGATTTCTGTCTGCCATGCCTTTTTTAAAGGCACCCACTGAGGCCTTGGGAGATACAGTATGAGGAGGAAGGAAAAAAAGGAGAAACAAGAAATAGGGTAGACAACCCAGCCTTTTTCATTGATTGAAAATTAAAGAATTCTAGAAGAGGAATCAGAGATCTCAAAAGTTTTCCATGATTCATAGTTAGGGACACCGAACATGTACAGGTGTGAAAGATGGACAGTGAAGAAAGCTCCAGAGGGGAAAAAATTGATTCGTTTGAAATGTGGGGCTGGAGGAGAGCTTTGTGGATAACCCTGGACTCCCAGAAAGACAGACAAGCAGGTCCTAGATCAAAGAAAGAAAGAAAGAAAGAAAGAAAGAAAGAAAGAAAGAAAGAAAGAAAGAAAGAAAGAAAGAAAGAAAGAAAGAAAGAAAGAAAGAAAGAAAGAAAGAAAGAAAGAAAGAAAGAAAGAAAGTGAGGCTGTCCTGTTTTGGGCACATCCTGAGAAAGCAGGTTTCTCTGGAGGAGACAATAACGCAGGGAAAAGTTGAAGGCAGCAGAGAACGAGGAAGACCAAACAGGAGATGGGCTGACTCCCTCAAGGAAGACCCAGGCTTGAGTTTGCAAATGATGAGCAGGGCAGTTGAGGACAGGGCGTTCTGGGGAGCGGTAAGTCCTTGGCCACTTGATGGCACATAGGGGACCGCCCCCCCCCGACGAAAGACTTCGCATCACACCCTGGGTCTCCTGGCATCAGTCTTCCCGCCCGAGGCGAAACGTCCTGGAATGAGCATCAGGTTCGGAAAAAAGCATGCCCAGCTGCGCATTTTTTAACCCTTTAAAGCAGGGCAGGCCATGGCCTGTGGCCCCTTTCGCCTTCTTTTGCAGGGAGGCGGGCTCAGGGCTCCCTCGCCATGCCTGCCCGCCTGCAAGCCGGGCGCATGGCTTGCAACACTTGAGCCTCCTTCTCTGCCCGGGACTGTATCAGGCCGTCGCCTGGCAACGCCGGGAGGCGCGTCACTTCCTGAGCAGCTGCTGGTGGTGCTGGTGGTGGTGCTGAGCGAGAGGCAGGCGGGCGAGCGAGCGAGCGAGCGAGGAAGCGGCTGGAAAGCAAGGCGCGCTCAACAGTTCGGCAAACTCTTCCCGGCTTTCTCCTCCTTGGCCACGGCCGAGCGCGGGGAGGGAAGAAGAGGATGCAAGCGGCGGAGGTCCTCTGTTTGCAAGCCAGGGCAGGATCCGGGCATGCAGATCACGAAGAGATAAATGCAATTAACGGGTTCGTTTCCCGAGGACAGATCTAGCTCTCTGCGCGCTGCGTTTGCAGCAGTTCGGAGCCTTTAGTGCGCAAAGAGAGAGAGAGAGAAAGAAAGAGACCGCCGGGGATTTTTTTTGACCTGGGGGCCCGGTGGGCTGCGGCCCCGCCAGGAGACGTCCAGGAGGAGGGGATCGGAGAGCCCAAGCCGGACCGGGGAGGCGACCTCGCTGCCCGAGGATCGACAGAGAGCCGCCAGCAGCAGCGCCGGCACCCCAGCCTGGGGAAAGGGAGGAACGAGGGCGCCTTTGCAGAACTCGAGGGAGGGAGAAGAGGCGATTTCTGCGCCCCTGGCCGGGAAGGGGCTTTGCGCCGCTCGGCTCTCCTTGCGCGGAAAAGTGGCGGAGACTCCCCCGACGGCTGGGAGGAAGAGGAAGAGGAGGAGGAAGGAGCGAGAGCTCTCCTCGCCCCTCTGCGACCCCCTCCTTGCGCTCCCTATGGCCGCCCCGGCGGCCCCGCTTTGGCCCAGGAGGGTGAAGGTCTCCGCGCCCCGCAGCTGAGAGCGGGGCTCTCCCGTCTTGGCCCGCCAAGGGACCCTCCCCTCCCCTCGACGTGCCCCCTCCCCATGTCCTAAAGCCCCCCGCCTCGCCTCCAGGGGCTGCCGCCGGGGGCTCAGTCGTCGTCGGTGGGGCAGGAGGCGGCGGCAGCGGCGGCGATGAGCGCGGATCTGGATCG